CCGCGTTGGTAGTTTCCAAATTTTGTACATCCTCCTTCCCTTTTGAAAGGTAGTACGACCCCTGTAGCTCGGAGACTGAGTGTATGGGGTACCCCCCCCCCGGGAGGCCCGTCGCGCGGCAAGAAGGCGAGTTAGCGGAGGAGTTCCGCGTGTACTGTAGGGATTTCGCGTCAAGTGTAAATGTTCCATTGTACGTCGTACATCGCTCACACGCTGCGACTCGTCCGCGACTTTGCCGAGACGGGCCTCCTCGGGGGTACCCGAGTGTACGTAAACCTCGAACGCCTCAAAAAGTTTGAACAGTACAACAACAACATAGAGCCTGGGGAAGAAGGGAGCGGCGTGGACCTACTGTAGTATTCAAGATATTGACCACATCGCGCGTTTTGGGTTTTTGCACCGCAAGGGACAAGGGCGCTTTTGCGAGCGCGGCCGCCACACCTCACACCCGTAACTTTCGAATGACGATCTTGGGAAGCTTCAACGGTATGAAACCATTTCAGCATTCAATGCGTAAAATGTAATCGAAGATATAAGTAGTAGCGAAATCCGATCAGAAAACGTGAAATAGTAAAGAAAATTGGAATTTGAGTCTTTTTCTCTGTAGTGGTGCCTAAATTATCTTCGATATTGATGTGTCAAGTGGAACATATATCTTCCTTCCCTTTTAGATTGTATTTACGTTCGCTACCTTTTCTCACTGATATGTTCATCAGAATAGGAAGAAAACGAGGGATGCCGAGCTGCGAATTCCGCCGTGCTTAAAGAACATCCGCTAGACTGGAGCATATTTGATCATACCGTGACCCATGTCGTTTACGGTTATGTTATGCTGTAATAATGCAATTTAGGTAAGCAAATTGGGAAGAATCCCCGTATACACTAAGAGAGAGATGACAAGGGTGAGCGCAACCGCGTCTCACTGTCGTCAATGTGTTAGAGTGGGGGAAACGATCACAATTTTCGTCGGACTAATTACTATGGAAAGATGAATTTGGCATGACAAACTTCGTGACTCAGACTTTATGAAAACTTTTAGATCCTGCTTAAAATGTTGGTGATTCAAAAAGTAACCCCGTAGGGACTTTAGGGGGAGCGGGATTGGAGTAGCGTTTTTTTTTTCTGAAAAACCGAGCTTCAGCTCGTATACGATAACATCTTTCATAAGATTTATTATTTATTATAGCTGAAGCCACCATCATGAACGTCAAGATTCAAGCTTTAAAAATGCGCTGAAGCTTATCCGAGAATCTACAGAACGAAAAATTAGTGGTGTTGAGACTTTTTAGAAAAGACTCTTTTAAACACATTTTTTGAGAATGCAAGTTCTTGAGTGACCTCCTAACAATAACCCGACGATAAATAACAATAACTTTTTTTCAAAACTGATTCCCGTTACAAATATGAGTCTTAGCAAACCACGATCATGCGCTTTTAGGAATTCACTCAAGCGATAGGAATTCCATTCCCTAAAAACGTTTCTTTGTAGAAATTTTCTTGTTCTCTCCGGAGTCGATCCTTCAAGCTTCAATTTACTACAGAAACATCGAAAACCCTTTTAAGCATTTATTGTTTGAAAATTCGAATTCAAAGCGCTTTGGCTAACTATCTATGCCATGGTGTGGCCCACGCCTTCTAATTCGCCTATGTTTCGGAGTCGACACCGCTCCGATTTCTACAGCTGATCACCGATCTAACCACGCCCACCCCCTTACCCCATGGGCTAGATACAAGCCTACTCGCTGATTGGTACCAACGCTCGATGGAACCTGGTGGTGGACTAGCAAACTCAGCTTGCTGGAGCGGTTGCCATCACATCATGCCCTTCCACAAATGATGCCATGCAAACGGCAAAGCACATCAGCCATCAGAACAGCTTTTGAAGCGATAAGAGCACGTATCAAAAACCCTATTAGTACGCGGCGTTATTTAGAAATTCAAATTCCCAACAAAATTTCGAAGTTGATACTGCCTAATCGGAAGAGAAGCGACGAAAGTTTCGGGTTCCTTAGTGACCTCTTCAACCGACATCGAGTTCCTACGACTCCTCCTTTGGCTAGCAAAGACCTGAACCCGGAACTCGATTCCGTAATCCTCCTGGTTTGTCAAAAAAAAAACCAGGGACAATCTGCATTCTGAATTCTGAATTTTTTCATTGAGATGGATGGGAACGTTTTTCATCAAAAAAAAAGACTGATTTTATTTTGAATTACAAAGGCGAAGAGAAAGGTCGTCGTTACACACTAACCTTATACTTGCACGGGAATATCGCAAAAACGTACGCGCTCCAGGTGAGAGTTTGGCAAAGAGAGGCACGAACCGCCAAGATTTTCATGTGGACTTGCCAACGAAGCCGTGAGTGGATGGAAAAAAGAACAATTCTATCTTTGTCTTATGATCTGAAAAGCCATAAAGCTAACAGAATAAAGTGTATCTAATGAACTTGGATCTGAACACGCTATAATATAAAACGAACAAAAGACCGTATAGCGCATAGAGAGTGAGGCTATTCAGCTTTAAAAGGATATCTAGTTCTATTCGACCTCTGAAGTTGAGGGCTTATATGAAACTGGAGCGTCGCGACCATTGATCTAGAAAAACTAAAGTATTAAACTCGGAGTAGTGCTGCCGGATGCGTTGACGGCGGGACATTCCATCGAATTTTTCAGATCAAGGGAAGATCGAACAGCTTCCTATCAACTTCTGATTTTGAACATGATGACAGCATGATAAGCCAGAATGCTTAGAGCAGAGAAGATGATACGCACGTGAGTTTGAGCTTTCAATTGCCGACAGCGTCTGAGAAACGTCCGGTATCCAATATTACGAGCTCGTTTTTTTGTTCCTTCCTCCTTTTTACGCTACGCTAGGAAGTGAGAGACTGAGCACGGAGTAAAGAGGAAAGGCGAGAAAGCCGTCGGAGAAGGCAAGACTCAGCGTGTTGGAGACGAGAGAAAAGAAAGCAGTTGGAGCAACCTTTGCAGGGCTTTACCACCTTTGTTGCGCACTTTGGCGTCAGGAGAACGGAATATATAAGGCCACAAAGAGGACCTATTCATCTGAGTCCATCCTGGGTTGTGCCTTCAACCAAACGACGCCTCGTGACAACTTTAAAATTCGCATGTACACCCGGACTTCCCAACAGCCATGGACCAGAGCATAGCTGAAACATCGGCTTCTTCAATCCAAAAACGGTCTCACCCACCTTTGTCCATAGTTGCCATCGCGAGGGTTCAGGCAGGCGGTACCTTTGAACACGCCATCTCTATCAGGCTCTTGACGCTCCTAGATTTGAGGTAAATGGGTGTTTCTCGAAAATCCAATTTTTTCTACGAACATGAGCTTATCACAAACTAAGTGTTCACACTATAACTGGTGAGGTGCCTTCTATGGTTGTATCGCATTGTTCAAACGTAGCACATTCCTACAAATACAGAATTGCTCTGCTTACTTACTTCAAGAATCTTCTTTTCATCTCAGCAGCTCTAGCTCGCCGGTCGTCTTTCATGAATCATTAGCCAGTGTCATGGAATCATACATCATAACGACGTTTCGTGAATTGCAGCTTTTAAGAATATAACGAAGTAACAGTTACAACATCCAGTAAGCTGCCCTTAGACCTAGCTGGAAACGTCGAGCTATTTAAAGCAGTCTTGCTCGAGCTCCTCGATGATGCCGATGCGCCTCGCGTATTGAAGACGTTGAGTGTATGGGAAGGGCTTGCTTCTGGCCGCATGAGTCCCGTTTACCTTGTCGCCCATGTGCAGCGTAGACTGCTTGCGCATATGCGCGTAAAGCGACTTTTTTGTCTCTTCTGTGTTGAACTTCCTATAATAAGCTGTCATGACATATGAAAACACATTTTGAAAACGAAACAGTTCGACAAGGCAAGGTGAGTTCTGGTAGGTTTCTTAATTTGGGCACAACGCCAAGAATCGCTGAAACAAATATTGCCTCCCAGTTTCTTATTTCCACGTCATTGATCCACAGGTAGTGTGCAGGAAGCTGAATATGCTGCCGCGGTATCACTGATTGATTAAAACATTGATTAAAACTCCATACTCAGGTGGAATTTATTGTAGGAATCCAAAACGTGAAGTTACAGCTGGCAGTGATAGTCGCATACTTTTGTTCATGGACAACGGCTCAAAAACGCTCAATGGCAGCGATTCCTCGCCCTCTGTGAAAGAAGCAAACTCACAGGGTTTCGGCTCTCTTTCTGGCCTCTCACTATTGAGACTAATTGTCAGATGAAAAGGGAACCCCTTCAGTCAAGAAAGAATGACAGCCTGGATAAGTTGGGAAAAAGGTAGCATCAATCCTTTTAGTGACATTAACACGTTGACAACCGTGTGGTATGATGTCATACCACTCTTTCACATGGAACAGACTAGTTTTCCTTAATTTATTTGGCGTTTTTTCCTGTTCCGCAACGGTCCACGTACACTATTGGATCCGAGAAACATTTTCTTCATCACTGATAATGAAAACGCTGAAAGATCAACGCATATCAGTTAGAGAATAGGAAAAATGTAGAAGCAGTACGTGCACAACGGCGGTTGCCAACGTGTTAAGTGCTGTAAGCTTGGGCATATGTATGGAGTGTCGTGCAGCTCTTACAACTAGCCCTAAGAGGTGATGAAATATGTGAAAAAACAGAGATCAATAGCATTTGAAAAAAAAATTGGACCAGAGGAAGGGAGCGCCACAATGACAATGTATCGGTTTTCCGTGACCCACAGTGGGTTTTGATCCCATGCCATCAAGTCACAACACTCCGGTTGAAGCTACAAACCGCAATCACAACGACAAGGGGAGCTTTTTTCCGACAATTGGTCTGTGATAGACTTTAGATGTTTCCTAGAGCGAGCTCAGTCTCTAATGCCACTTCTCCTCCAGTTATCACCAGCCAGAGGGCACCATTTCAATTTCACTTCTGTTTATCTGAGCAAAATAATTTATTCATATTTTTTAGTGGAAAATCGTCATAACGAGCCGTCATGCGTTGGGGAAGGTTTGTGTGATGTGGCCCGCCAAACGATGCAAGTGTTTTGTAGGAGGTTTGCGTGGGATGAGAAAGGCTGCTACCCGGAACCGCCCTCAGGCTCGCTCTCATCACCTCAGGATCTTTTCCTTGGGTGGTCTGTACCGTAATGTCTGGACCAGCATACAGAGCCCATACACCGCATTGCCTTCCGAGATCACGTTCGGTTGAGCGTTTCGGTACCGTTGCCACTCTTACAAGGTATTCACTTTATTTTATTGGGTAATCCATTAGCGCGGATAAACTTGAACCCAAACGTCAGATTTCATAGCTAGCATCAGCGCTAAACTTAATTATGATGTCAAAAATAGTGCAGTGAATAAGCTGATTTCTGTAAAAAATTTTCCATATTTAATATTTTCCATCAAACTGATTCCGATGTGATGAACTGGTCACTTTACTATAACTGTCTTTCAGAGTGGCATCGGTGCCCAATCTGTCGACTTTTCACGTTGGCGGAGATCGTTACAGGTGCTCGACCCTGTACAAATACAGAAAGAACTATGATACGGTGAGGTATTTTTCACTTCTTTTTAGGCATTTTTAAGCTTTTCTAGAAAAATCTTAGAACAAACATGTGTGTGAAGGCTTCCTTCCCTTTAACAAGGCGTCTTACTGTGATTCCTACTTCTTTCAAGACAAACACTGAAAATGCCTTGGTAACCTTACTGAAGTGAAGGGTACGCAGAGTACTGTATAATCCGGTTACTAGTATTATGTTGGAAAGCGCCCAAAAATTCGGAAGCCAATACCTGCAATAATGCTCAGAAATAAATGTTTTGTTCTTTTCTTCAACTCTATTCGGAGCACCGCTACATATCTCCACACTTCCGTGTTTATTTCCGTCAGCATACACTCTGTCAACAATTTTGAGATGTAGTAAACATATAGATTTCGTTTTCCGTCTTGACTGACAGGTTTTATGAAAAATAAAAACTGAAAAATTGAAGTGACTTTGTTCGCCGCTGTGCCCTTTAGCGGGTTATCTACACGTGGTGAAAACTTGGCCACATATCACCTCAAAATTGTAGCCACTCTTCAGCAGCTTTTATCTATCTCTAAATAGTAATCAACTACTTCACCCAAATGTTTGAGCATTTCGAATGATAACGCTCATCTAATCCCGGATCAAATTTCGTTCCAGGCCAAACAAGCCACCACGCCTGTCACTGAGGGTCGGATAGTTGGCACAGACTCCTTCGGGTGCCTGAAAACACTGAGCTATTACCTTACCAAGAAGTGGTTGCATATTTTAAAAATCGCATTCAAGTGCCCTACGATTAGGAATGGAAGTAGAACTCGTGGCGCAGCGAAGAAAAGAATTGATCAGCTGGATGCTTTTTCTTTTTCCAGTTATCGTTTTTCCCTTGAATAACTTAACCAAAAACTGCTGATTTTTCGAGGTGCTCTCATACTTTGAGTACAGTATTTTCCATAAGGCATTGTATAAGCCAAAATGGGCTCAGCTGGGGTCTTTCAGATCCGCTATCGATTCATACATTTTCTAAGACCAGTAGCCATTAAGCACAGATGTTCCTCCTGAAACCTTGGTTCCCAGTATTGCAATGTGGCACGAGAAGAGGAGTCCCAGGTGTTTTCGTTCTCATCAAACTACGGACGTGCAGTGCTTCCACGTGTCTAGATTTACTCAGTACAGGACAATTCCCTGAAGCGCCAATTTGTTTCTCAGGTTGCCAACGCCTGGAAGGCAGCAGCAGCATCAAGTGTAATCTTATCGATAGGTGGTTTTTACCGGCTGTTCTGAAGAAACGCAGTGGGTTGTGTAATGCTACGCGATGCCATCACGCCACAAAGTGCTTTCCGTGAAATAATCCAAAAGCTTGTTAAATCTGGCCATCACGTCATCTCAGCTCAGAGCTTTTTGAGCTTCCCCTATCCAGCATTAGGTCTGAGGTATAAAGTTGGTTACGGTATCCTCAGCGAGTGTGGTCAAAGCGAGCGTGGCAATTCTTTTTTCGAAAAGTGGTCAGTTCCACCCCGCCCCCCCCCCCACCCATATAACAGTTCCATGGACAACTGGGATAAGGTAGTACATACTATTATTTTTTCAAGGTGCGCCACTCATGCACAGACCTTCTAGAATGGTTGTTGCTTTTAGAAAATGACCTGGCCCGTTTAGGAATTTTCGTTGGTCTGCTGATACAATTCATCATTTTTATACCCCAGATATGTGAGCCTGACATCAAGTATTGACCCCGAGGGGTGTTATACGTATGGGAAGAAGCGCCACAT